CATCCATCCATCCATCCATCCATCCATCCAACCATCTATCCATCCATCCATCCATCCATCCATCCATCCATCCATCCATCCATTTCTCCAACAAATGCTGCCAATCTGATAAAGGTCTTGTTCTCTGCAGATATGCAGTTAGCCTGCAAACGACTCATTCCTTAGAGATGACTGTTCTGCTCTGCCTATGTACTTCCCGCAGTGAAAAGTGTACCTTGAAATAGATCATTTGATTTAAATGTGGCTTTATCTGTTATGAAAAACTTCTCTTTCTCTGGTTTGGACACTCAGACCCAGAGAATTTTAGTGACTCATCCAAGGGCATACAACAAGATCTCTGTAGAGCCAGGACTGGGAATCAGCTTTCCTACTGCTTAATCAAGTGCTTTTCCCTTTGCTGTGAAATGACAAGGAATGCTTTGTTTTTGGAATGTTTTATTTGACTACCATTCAGAGATGTGAAGTGCCTCCCACTCTTCTTCATTCCAATCTAAACATCCCCTCGTGTGATTGGCTTTCCAGACCCTTTCCTATTTGCCCCAGCTTGGCGTGCTTCATTTTCAATCCTCCAGATGTGGTCAGGCTGTGCAGAATACACTGAACCAGATACCTCCCATCTTCTGTACATAGGTAGAAAGCATGATAGAACTGAATACTGGTTTATGCCTGAATTTCCGTTTTCTACTCTTGAAGAAAGTGAGTCTTCATGTCTGTGAAAACCCACACCATGCACTGAGTAGGCTTTTCCTATGAGGAAGTGTGTTACTTGTCTAGCACACACCACTTTCTTTGAAACACCAGCAGTGTTTCATAAGCAGCCATGTCTCACTTGTTTGCTCTTGAAGATAATGACTGTCGCAGCTTGCTATATTTGTGGCATGACAGCAAGTCCATAAGACTTGGATTCTGTGTGTCTGGTTCAAATCCAACTCTCTGGTCTATGAGTCACGTGACTTTTGCCAAGTCATTTAAAGTGGCTGATTTTCAAATTTCTCAACTATAAAATACGCAAACAAAAATGCACACTTTATGCAGTTATGATAAGACTAAAGTAAATAATATATATGTAACTTTTTAAACTCTGGAGCATATATTGCCCAGTTTAATTCAGAGCTTTTATACAATTTAGCAGCAATAAGTAATTAGAAAACAAAACAAGAAAGTACCCTTAGATACTTTAATACTTCAAAAGCTATGAATGGCACCCAATTGTGTAATACACCATGGCCATTATTAAAAACCCTTTCCTCTCTTATCTACTGTTTTTATAACCCCATCTACTCCTAAGTGTCTCTCTCACATATACTTTCATATTGCTTCCTACATCTTGTCCACCACTGCTGTGTCCACATGGAATTCTCCCGGCAGTCCCACCCCTCAACATACCTTTATTATGTAGACATGAAATTTCTGGGTTACACAAATTGTTTGCTCTGGGCTCTTAACCAAAAGTTTAGCAGTTGCATATTTAAATTAGATTCCAGCACAGAGTGCCCTAGAAGAGAGACTGGTGTTCGACTTTCATAAAATTATAGCCAAGAAAACCCTGTGGAGCTCAGTTCCATTAGATCAGTTCTATCATGCATTGGATTTGACAGTAATGGGCGTTTTTATTCCTCCTCTCTTTTTTCGTATTACATAAATGGACTGTACGTCTCAGTTGGTAAAAACGGAACCTCTTTTTAGGTGTATGTGGTGTGTATATAGTTTGTATGCGGTGTATGCATGTGTGAATGTGTCCATGTGTATTATTTGTGTGTTTGAGGTGAGCATTAAACTGGCTGGCAATTACAGGATTCTCTTTGCTAGAAGAGGGGAAACACTGTTTCAAACACTCCTATGTTCGTTTTTTCATGAAAAATATATCCTTTTTCAAGTGCCATATTGCTTGGCAGGGGAACCAAGCCTGTGCTACGTCTATGAAGGAGACGGGATCTGTGAGCCCTTTGAGAAGGAAACCAGCATCTCGGACTGTGGACTATTTACTCCTCAAGGATACTTGGATCAGTGGGCTACCCAAGCGTACTCCTCTCATGAAGACAAGAAGGAATGTCCTGTTTCCCTGGTAACTGGAAAGCCTCATTCCATGGTAAGTTAAGCCAGGTCATGACTGACCAATATTGTAAAGTGCTTCCCCTCGATGCCTAATGAGAGTTTACAATTTTCTCCTGGTTCTACCAGTGTTACCATCAACTGTCAGCCTTGGTGCACTCAGTACAAGATCATGTTAAGTGAAAAGCTTCCAGACTCACAGTTAACCCCTACACACCTCCACCCCAAACCACTCATACTTCCTTAGTTTTTGTCTGGGAATGTTTAGACTATGTAGTGGGTAACTCTAAAGCATACCTGAGCATCTCAAAATTTACCTTCCAAATACCTGAGGCACAAATTACACTTGGGCTTTGTATTGAAGAGAATTTGTTATACCAGAAGAAAGAGAAACAGACAAGAGTCAGAAAGCCTGGGTTCTACCCCTGGACACACTGTGATGATGGCTGCATGCTGTTTGGCGACTCACTTAACCACTTTGGACCCCGGTTTTCTCATACATTTTCATAAACACATTATTATCACTGAAGAAATTGTAGGGTTAGCACTATAAACACATCCGTAGGTGGCCAATGTTCCCTGTGTATTTACCTCTGTAGGCGGGATCCTCGGAGCACTCTACGATGCTCTATTAATGACTTTTCCCCACTTCAGTTCATTTTTTTCCCTATAAATTTTAGTTACTGTTGACACAACATAGTCATATACCACTTCACTAGATTGTCTGGGTACAATTGATTACCTTCTTTGAGTCGTTAAACCATTCTCACCCTCCTTGGTGGAGTCACTCCTTCTTATTATATAAACTGATTGCACCCCAAAGTTCCCATCTAATCGCTCAAGTTGTCTGCTTTATTCCATACAGATAATTCTTAAATGAGCAAAATCCTCAAGGCAGACCCTTTCTACTAGCGATCTAAATTACTGTTCCGGTTTAGATGACTTCAGAACACGTTTTAAATTTAAGTTTTAAGGACTTTTCTCAGGCAATGGGTTCGTGGATTCATCCATTGCCCATGGCTCCAGAACATCTACAGCCCTTCAGACCATGACATTCTTCCTGCATCGCTCCTCTTTCGCCCAAGAGTCTTCTTCTACCTCTCCTGTTCTCCTGGCAAAGTCGGCACTTGTTCCTGGAGGCAACGAGCCATGCCTGCCAGCTCCTGTTGCTGACTCTCCTACCTCTGTTACTCCAGGGGAATTGAGACCAAGTATGCGCCTTGAATGGCTGCTTGCAAGCGTTTAAGACCCCATGCACTACACAACAACCTAGGAGGTAAAACAAATAATAAACACGTTATTAGGCCAATTAACAGAGGTGTCCTAAGAAACCAAAGTATTAAACCTCTGAAAGCTTCAAGCATTCCCAAATCAAGGAACGAAGGCATGAGATGTTTGGTTGTGCACATGCAACCCAAGCAGCTGCGTGCTTTCTGTCTCTTTCATTTGTGTCAAGATAAGGGAACTCCAAAAAGTTTATAGAACATGGAATTCTCACACAAACTTTTGAAGCATGTTTGTATACACATCGCACAATGTTTTCCCGAATGACTTTATGTAGGTGTACAATTTTTTATTTGGTAAAGTTGATAGAGGAAGACCCTCATGGAGTGGATGGACCAGTGGCTGCAACAGTGGGCTCAAGCACAGGGACAGTTGTGAGGGCGGTGCAGGACCGGGCAGTGTTTCATTGTCATAGATAGTGTTGGAACCGATTCGACGGCACCTAACAACAACCATTTATTGACAGCAATTATATTATCAGTTGTGCAACCTTACCCATACTCAATGTAATTTCCCCATCACCCTCAATCTTCCTTTTCTCCTCTCTCTGCCCCGGTAACTACTAATAAACTTTGGTCTTTCTACATTTGCCTTTTTTGGTTATTCTTTATAAATGAGGCTATACATTATCCCTTTATGATGGGCTTACTTTGATCAGCATAATGACTTCTTGTTTCAGGACTTCATTTCTCCTACTGACTAATAGTCAGCTGTATGTATGCACCCTATTTTGTTTATCCATTCATCAGTATCCCAGTGTGTTTCCTGAATTCTATTTAAATATTACAAAGCTGTAGAGTTCTTCACTCCTTGGAGCCATTCCAGATCCTTCAGTGACCAAACAGACTTTTCATTTAATGTAATAATGGGCAGTGTAGGGGATTTTTGTTGTTTGTTTGTTTTTCACAGAAATGGGATTTAGCCCTTTGCACATTTCAGGCAATGATACAGTAATGAGATGTACCATCTCAGAGGAAGTCCCCAAGGCGACACGGAAGCAGTCCCTGGTGGTGCTCTAGTGGAAGGAGCTCATCCAGGCCTGAGGTGGCTCTTCTTGTTCTTCCATGTTTGTTCGCAGCACTCCTCTTCCGGCTGACAGGACAGGTGCTGATCTTCTGGGCGTGAAGACAGCATTTCCAGCCGGAATAGAGGGAAAGCCAGTGAGAAATGGAGCCATTGTAGCTGAGCCTTTCCTCTTTCAAGAGCAGTGCTTCTTGAAATCCTATGCTATAGAATTTCACTGACATCTCTCTTATTGACCAGATCCAATAAGTTACTTCATCCTCCTTTGCTGTAAGGGAGTCTGAAGAGATCAACTTTTATTCTTTTTCGGTTTTACTAGCTATACTGCCATTTTGAACAAAACCAGGGTTGTTAATAAGAAAGAAAGAAAGAAAGGAGAAATGGATGTGGATAGGCATCTAACCGTGTCTGCCACACACACTCTCGGCCTAATTCTGGAATCTTACTCCAGGAGGCCTGGTGTCCAATGACAGGACGCCAGGAAAGTTGGGAGCTTCTGAGTTAGTGGCAGCTCTCTGAAGTGGCTTTCAGTCTAGTCTGTCTGTCTTCCCTAAGTGAAGTGGAAGACATTTCCTGGAGTCTCACTGCCCTGGCTCAGTGGTTCCCTGTTTCAGTTAGACCACTCCTGGGGCCAGCTGACCCTACTGGGTAAGGACCTAACTGTCGTCATAGATAGACTGTCTGCCTATTACTAGGAGCAATTGAATACAATGTGCCAGAAGGGTCTTTGATCAAGTCCTGGGCTGACAGTGGGCTGACAGAGGGCGGTTGGTCATGTATGTTTTTCTACCCTGGTAAGTTAGTCTCTTGAGGTTCCCAGAGAATTTAGAAATCCTTTTACATGGAGAAAGTTCTCTGCCAATAAGATGATCATGAGGCACTCAGACAGGGAGTGAAACTTGGGTTTTGTGAAGGAGAGATTTTGCCATCACTTACCTCTCACCCTCCATGCTTAATATTTGGCTGATATTGTATTTCAGATCTGCACATGGTACCATCCAGATTTACCTGAGAATCGTCCCTTTACTGGCTGGTTTCCCTGTGCCACCAGTGGAAATAGACCTCAGGACGGAGGGAGTGAGCAGCCAGAAGGTAGTCTGGAGAGAGAAGATGAGGTTTGGCTTAAAGTAAGTGGTCTTTTTGTGAAAAATGGTGTGTGTGTGTGTGTGTGTGTGTGTGTGTGTGTGTGTGTGTGTGTGTAAAGATGCATTTGAATTGGATAGTTAAGAAATTTCTTTCTGGTATCTCATTGATTTTAGATTTTGAATTTGTTTTTACTTCATTTGAACTTTTTAGACTTCCTTGTTTATAATCATTTTATCAGAGTCTAATGTACATGCAGAAAAGTGCACCACTCAGAAATGTTCAACTCAGCAAATTTTTAGCCGACACCCTTTCTAATGACCACAAGATCAATAAATAGAGTATTATCATTCCTACTCCTTCCCAGCCATTACCCCATAATGGTACCTACTATTTTTAATTCTATCACTGTAGAATAGTTTTGCCTATTTTTGAACTCTATGTGTTAAAAAAATTATAGAGTGCAATTATGTCTGGTGCGTTTCTGCTGAACATTATCTATATGGTGCGTTTCCGCTGAACATTATCTATATGGTGCGTTTCCGCTGAACATTATCTATATGGTGTGTTTCTGCTGAACATTATCTATATGGTGCGTTTCTGCTGAACATTGTCTATATGGTGCGTTTCTGCTGAACATTGTCTATATGGTGCGTTTCTGCTGAACATTGTCTATATGGGATTCAAGTTGTTTCGTTTCACAGTAGTGTGCTCATGTTTATTGCTACATAGTGCTCCAATGTATAAATATAACAAGAAAAACCAAGCTCACTGCATGGAGAGGATACCAACTCATGGCGATAACACAGGTTAGGGAAGAACTACCCCTCTGAGTTGCCAAGACTAATTTTCCGGGAGGAGAAAACCCTGTCTTTTTCTGGTGGAGCAGCTGATGGTTTTGAACTGCTGACCTTTCAGTTAGCAGCCCAATACATAACCACTTGTCCATTCTAATATTTATGAACATGGCCTATTTTCAATTTTCACTAATGCAAATAGTTCTGCTATGACAATCCTTTTGGTTCATGTCAAGAGCTGGGTAGATTTAAAGAGCTGAGTGTGTGTGTGTGTGTGTGTGTGTGTATACACATATACTCAGCTCTTTAAATGTATTTACATATATTCAGAGGCTCCACAGGAGCCAGATATGGCAATCTGCTCCTATACTTGTTATAGCCTCGGAAACCCTATGGGGCTCTCACTTGGGTTTTCTGAGTCAAAATTCTACTTGACAGCACCCTATAACAACCAGGTACATAGAATAAATCTGTTGGGTTCTACGTATGCTGAGAGTCTGTTTTAGTAGGTAATCTCAAATAATTTTCAAAAGGCCTTGTTCTAATTTACCAGAGGTTAATGGATACTCAAACTGCTACAGATTTACCCAACTCTTGGTAACTTTGAGACTTCATTTAAATCATTCTGGCACATTGGCCTCTCCCTTTGGTTTGCATTTGCATGAAGGTTAGTATCATTGAGAGTCTTTTGTATGCTTATTTTCCATTTAAACATCCTCTCATTTTTGAAATACATTTCAAGTCTTTTGACCATTTTATAATGCATTATCTAACTTTCTTCTTACTCTTTTATGTAATTTCTTTATAAATTCTGAAAATAAACACATTATAGTTGTATGTCATTTAATATCTTCCACCATTATCTGACTTACCTTTTCTTGGTCTTAATAGTAAGCAGCTCTGGATGAACAGAAGAAGTTCTACATTTTAATAAATTTGTCCAATTTGATTTATTTATTTATTTTAATCATTTTATTGGGACTCATACAACTCTTATCACAATCCATACATACATCAATTGTGTAAAGCACATTTGTACATTCATTGCCCTCATCATTCTCAAAACATCTGCTCATCACTTAAGCCCCTGGCATCAGGTCCTCATTATTTCCCCGCCCTCCCCGCTCCCCACTCCCTCTTCAAACATATTTGCCTCTCAATAAGATACATTTTTTGATGTGACCTTCTAGAAATGTTACTGTTTTGATTTTCATATTTAGGGAATTTTTGTATAATGCGTGAGGTCGGGATCAAGATTTTTTTCTCCATAACGAAAACTTTCTTCTCCCCACTATCCTGCACTATGTCATCTTTTTAAAAAGTAAACTAAGCATATGTGTGCAATTCTATTTATTGGTCTGCAATATAAATCTATTGACTTATCATGGTATACCAGTAGCTTATAATTTGATTACTGAATGTTTTTTAAAGAGTGTAAGCATTTGATAATGCAAGTCCTACCACTTTATTTTCTTCCAGATTACCTTGGCTGTTCTTGTTGTTTGGTCATCCTATTGTTGTTTACATTTTTATTATTTCTTTTTAATAGTTTTATTGGCATATAATTCATGTACATAATTTAATGGTTCAATCATATTAAGAAGAGTTGTGCAATCATCACTACAATCAATTTCAGAGCATTTTCTTCTCATATTCTGTGTTATTAGCTCTTCATTGCCTTCCAAACTCCCCTGCCATGCCCCTAAGTTATTATTAATCCAGTTACTGCCTACATGGATTTACCTATCCTGGATTTCATACACAGAAATCATCCAAAACATCCAAAAGAAGAAGAAGTTTTAAAAACCCACAATGACAAAGAGAGAGAATATCCTCAATCAAAAAGAAAACAGAAAATATTAAAAACTGAAACAACTTTAAAATGAGTCAAAGGGAGACCAAATGCTAAGGTGTTGCATGTCACCCTAACTACATCTGCCACAGTCAACTTGACAATGATCCCAGTCTGATAGAGAGACTTATCACATCCCTGGAATACAGTCAGACGGGTTCCCTGGAGGCTTAATCTGTGGGACCCTGTGTTGGATTTTGGGCATCCATTGTTATCCATTGTTAACCTTCTGCAAACTGGGGGTTCAGAATTTAAGCTCTGATAGCATTCCGTCCCTCGTATTTGCATTTTGTGATTTTCAATCCTTGGATTACACAGGCTGGTATATTTCTTCCATGTGGATTAGTTGATGCCTCGCTTTGGTGGCTGCTTGTTTGAAGACTACCCTTTAAGCCCCCAGATGCCTGGCTACTTTTCTGATAGCTAGGCACCATCTGGCTTCTTCATCATACGTTTCTGTAGTACCTATATCTTCAGTGATCTCTTTATGAGGGGAGGGCAAGTTTAGAGTTGGGCAATACCATCAGAACTAATTTTTCTTAGATGGGGGCTAGAATTAAGTATGAACTCAAAGTCCATTCATATATCTATGGTTTAATATGTCTCTGGTTCACTTTAGAGACACCGTTATCATTTTATGATAGAAAACATTATGACTTATCACCCTGGGGCATAAGGTAATGCAATTGAACGTGATTAATTTAGCCAATGGTATAAAATTTAAAACATTTGAGAAAGGGACAGGATATGTCTATAGGCTGGTTTTTCAGATAGCAATACACGAACTGTTTACTTGTACAGATTAAATGCTTAAGTTACATACACTTTACACAAGCAATTAGGATTGGTGATATGGCAGAATTTTCAATAACACTGATTCACAAAGGCAGAACCATGCCTACCAGATTAAAATAGACCATAAGAAGGCAAGGAGAGCTCTGGGCCACCATTCCATGGGTACTCTCAAAGCAAAAGATCTGAACCAAAGTCAAGACCACCAACTCCATAACCTTGGGATAGCATTCATCTACTTCTTTTCACCCTAGGGCATGTCAGCATTAATTCCAAGGGAGTACGCCACTTAAATTTGCTACAGGTGAGTTTGAAGTAAAGTCCAGTTCACTTAGTGTGTCAGTCTGGGTACTTTAGAGAAACAAATCCACAGAAACTCATGTATAAGAGAGAGTTTTATATAAAGGATAAATGCACATCAAGAAAACATCCCAACCCAGGGCTGCCCAAACCCACAAGTCCAACATTAACCCATATGTCTGACACCAATCCACAAAGTACTCCTCCATCTCACAAAACACACGCAATGACACCGACTGTAGGAGGAAAGCCAAATCAGTGAACTTGTAAGCATTTCACCGCTGGCAGGGGTCTCCACACTAGTGCTCCAGCACTCAGGGCTACATCAGGGTAGGTCCATGTGGCTTCTCCTCAGGGATGTCTTGCAGGAAGTGAGCCTTGCTAGTTGAAGCATGGAACTGTTAAGGCAGCTGCACCCTGGTGCAACCATCACAAAGCAAGAGACCGGAGAACTAGAAAGGCGAGGCTCACTGAGCCATTTATCCCTCCCCTCCGCCAGTCAATTAACCCCACATGTGTTTATCAGCCAGGTTGGCACAATAAACTAACTACCTCATTTAGTATGGTTTCCACATATAATCCTTCTGGTGTGGCCTATGAAGGATGTTGTAAGTCTAAAGTCCCAGTAGTCTATAGCACGTGGCCTGGTTCACTAAGGGCTGGGTAGAAACTAGGTCAAAAGTGACCAGTTAGGATACTGGGCATATTCTCACCTATATAGGTTCTATATAAGTATGGTTAAGTATTTTTTGTCCATGATAGGAGGTTGCTCCACCCAGCTTACCCATCAACAGAAGTATAATTACATTCTTTGAGGCATGCATGACCCCTCCCCCAGTCTTGACTTGAATATCCAATAAGGTTTACTTATCACTATGGTAGGGGTGTCTGTTAATTTGGGGGGACTGTAGCACAATGTTGTATGACAGCAACTGAATGGTCTTCTCCTTCTTCCCCTATATTGAGAAGCTGACCCCAGTTGAGGTGAAATCTCCTTATAAAAGGGGTGATCTATGGCTCCTGGACACTAGGCAGGTTCTCTACAGCCTAGTTTGGGAGACCAGATTAGAAGGCTACGTGCCCCGAGGGCAGAAGCCTGACTTTGTTTTGGGTTTATCCTTATAGTAGTGGACACATGCAATATTTGTCATTTGTGATTGACTAACGTCACTGAGCATAATGTTCTCCAGGTTCACCCATGGCATGAGGTGCTTCCTGGGTTCATTCTTGTTTTTAGGGGTGCATAGTATTCTATTGTGTGTGCACACCAGAGCTTTATCCATGTACCTAGTGATGGATTTGT